CTTTTGTCATTTTCAAATAACCTTTCATAATCATTAGCGACTCCTTGCAAACATTCGATAGACATTTTTATAGAAAGTTTACAAAAAGTTAAAATGGTAAAAAAGAAACAAACCATTGAGAAAATTAATTAAGACCATTGTATGCATGTTAATTGTATAAAGTTACACCACATTTATGTTTCCATTTAGTGCGACGATTATCCCGTAAAGGTGATTTTAAATAGCTTAGCGCTCGTCTCAACCAAAAAATTTTAATAATATAAAAAAAAAGAAATAAAAAGAATAGCTACCGTCGTAGCATTAAAATTTTTTTTTTTAAAAAATATAATCTTTAATAATGATGTAAAATTTATTCGATTTTATTTATTCGATTTATTTTTTCGACCTTCACCTCCGCAAAAAAATAAATTTTATACAAAATTACCTACGTCAAGATCCTTAAAATATTTAGTTAAAAATTCATAAAATGGGTCTAATCCTTTATTAACCCGAATGCGATAATATTTACAAATTTTTGTCTAATCAATTTTTTTAGTAGAGGTTTTCAATATTTTCATTACTTTGTGAGATCAGCTTCTCGTGTGATATAATCCTTCAAAAAGTAATTACTATTAAAGCTCAATAGGGCAGATCCTGAACCAATGCCTTCTGTCACAGCTATCGTTATATGGAGTGGTGAACCTCCTTTTGTAGACTTCGCCCTGCGTACGCATCAAATAATGTATGTTCGGCATTTGGCTAGAATTAATTGTGGCACACATGTTGATGAGTAGATTATTCAATGCCGAAAACCTAAGTCCCTAAAAATGAAACGCATGAATTTTGTGTGACTCTCCTGTTGCTGCTACCAGCATGCTTGTAATGTCTTTTAGGTTCATAAACTAATAAATAGCTTATCTTGTGATCCTCGTATATAGCACCTCCCTACCGGTAGACACTAACTAGATATGGCTCTACACTTATTCTTCGAAGCCATTACTCCTTCATATGAACGTGGTCAATTTTCTTGTTATGCTACTTCTGCAAAATAAATAAATTAAAATAAAAGTTGTGAAATGGTTATTTTTCTTGCAGGCATTATGCTTATAAAGCTTTGGATCAATATATAACTCCTTTCTAGCTATTTACTTTCTGTAAATCTGTTATTGCTGACTCCACCTCGGTATCTTTACCTTATAGCTTGTCTTGTGGGTTCTCGCATATAACACCTTCCTATCGGTAGGCATTTCTTCTGCTAAACTGGGATTGCTTCGCTTATTCTTTTTTCGGACCATTCCTTCACAGGTGCGACAATGGTATTGATCAAATTGGCCATTATTTCAATGTTTGCATGAAATAAAAGAAATTTTTTTTTTTTGCATTTGATTTCAAAATTATAATTAAAATAGTTACTATCTCCTACAAGCTCCTTTTCGATTTGTGATCTGCTAAGATTTATCATAAGTTTTTCATCACTACAAGTTGATGTTGTTGCAATTGTCGTAATTACCATGTTTGTCCCAATATCTAAATTATTGCTAGCTTTTCTTATAAATTTATCGAATTAGAGAAGAAATGTTGTCTAAATGTCTAAAATGAATGTTGCATAATTCATTTATATTCCAACAAACTATTGTAAGTTTGGCGTAAGACAGTTAGTTGATTATATTGACATAAAATCACTAACTTTCCACATAATTTATAATCATTATTATTTTGAAATATATCTTTTTATAAGCTTTAATGAGCGCTGAATCATGTCTTGTATATATTTGTTTGAAATATAAAATATCGAAGCAATTTTCACACCATTCATGAATGTCTTTGGTGCAAAATTTTGTATTCCTAGCTTCATTACTTTGTACATTTCTTGTAATTATAAGTACATCCAAATACGAATTATTATCAGTTAGATAACTAATATACTTTGAGAAACAACTTTACAATATTGCTGGTAAAATAAACCTGTTGTAGAGTATTCATTTCCGCAGGGACATTTATATCTTTAATAATCGTTTTGTCATAGGACTAGATTTTATTTGTGGAGTTGGGTCATAGGAATTTGATTATATGTAGTCGTAAATTCCATCTTATTAATTGAATTTGGAATATAGCAAATCTAATATTACACGGTTTGGATTAACATTTTCCGGTTAAAAGTAGGAATTCTTCGGGAGAGTTGCCTCGAGTATACTTGTTGAATTTCAATTAAAATTCTAACATTTTTGAATTCTTTCGAGAATTCTATTATTGATTTTCTTTGTATTATGAACAATAAGACAATGACATAATTAGCACCACCGAAAACTCATTTCAGATCGATTCCTTTTAAACTAATCTAAAATTGATAAGTTGCTGTCGTTTTTATTAAAATTTATCATAATATCTTCCATGGTTTTTATTTCAAGTCAAGTTCAAAATTCAAATATGATCTACCATGAAAAGAAAGAAAATCTCATTTCATTATGAGTTACGTAAATAATTATTTGAATTAAAAAAAATATAATCAGTAGAATGAATTATGTAATGATAGTGACATTTCTTATCATCTTTAGAACTAGTCTTCGGTTCAAAATTCCTTTATCTATTTCGTCATGCGTTTTTTCTTTTGTATTATAAAAAAAAAACCAGCTAATTTCTCAAAAAAACTTAATCTTAAAGCTGTATTGAGCCGAAATTGAACTGAACTGGTATAGCAATTTAACATCCCTACTGGCAACAACACTACTTCAATAAGATTAGACATGATAATACTTAATGGCCTTGAGTTCATTATTACTGCCTCTGTCGTCGGAAATCGTCTTTTATTGCAGTAAGATGACATTATTAAACATAACCAGTTCTCAATACAAGTGTGATGTATAAAATGCAAGTAGATTTTAGCCCAAATGTTGACTTGATATGATATAATAAATATTTTGATTTAACATTAACATATTGTTACATTGAAGATAATTCCGCCCAAAATCTCCATAATTCCGTATGAGAATCGCTTTTGATATTTGCTGTTAGTCATTTGAAGATCATTTGCCAGGTGTCAAAATGTTCAGAACGCCAGGCTGGCCTAATGAATTTTTTTTTATATATACAAGCCGGAAATCCTTATACAGCTCAACATTCCACGCTCGTTCTTATAATAATTGCATACATTCACCTCGAAATCCTTCCTTTATCACCTTTGCAATATTTTCGCTTTCGCCGTTTTAACAAGCATTTGTAACTTCGGTAATTTTAATAGTATTCTTATTCAAATTATTTCGTATTTACACAGTTTTAATTGATTAGAATTTTATTACTTAGCATTTACTTAGTTTTAATATTTTGACATAGCGAAAGTGAAAAGCGACGACGTTGAGGCAACACTGATCTAATTGATAATATTAAATAAATTTGGCTTCAATATTACTTCATTTTTATTCAATTAATACAATTCTTACAATACAAATTGTTTATAAATACAAACCGAGAACTGATCAGAAATGAGCAGATCATTTTTGTCTTGTGATATTATTTAATGCAAAAATGAAGGATTTTTTAATTTTCGTTTTTGCAATTTTTTTAAATATGACTTACAAGAAGTATAAACCACTTAACTTGTATTTCATTTTCATATTTGCTATTTGCTCTTTAGAGTTGAATCGTTTATTTCTGCAGGACGTTATATAATTTTGAAAAAAATTAAATTATGTCGCTTAAACCTTTTTTGAAATGAAAGCTTATTGTAAATGTCGTTCTTGTCCTGTATATTGATCACCCAATAGAATTCTGCGTTTCTGGTCACGTGCCTTTCACAAAAATTGATTTTTATTATTAAGTCCTGGTATTGCTTCGGACTAGAACAGTTACCGCTCCCTAGTTATTTAGTCCGGAAGGACCATTTAATAAATAAGTTTGTCAGTCTGTTTACTAAATTATCTGTTATGCACGTGATTATATACCTTTTGCTGATCGATTATGTTATGTTGTGAGAATAAACAATGAATAATGATTTTTTTTTTACAATGAATAATAATGTTGATCTACCGAATGCATTTTTTCATAAAAAATTTTTATCATTTCGCTTGCTATATATCAATTAAAAAAATCAAATTGGAAACTTCCAAGAATTCAAACGAGTTTATTAAAAAATATATTTCAAGTAATAATATAAAATACTTTGAATACAAACATTTAGCAATTTTCAAAAGATTGGTTCAGGCAGCTTTGGAAAAGTTTATCGAGCAAATTGAAAAGTACAAATCAATAACTTGTGTTAAAATCGTAACTTTAACGACGCCACTGTTAAAGAAATAGTTCATGAGGTAATTACAAAATATATTTCAGTTTGTTATCACAATTTCATTTATATTAAGTCGAAAGTTTTAATTTGTAATAATTTAGCTCGACCTTCAACGGACAGTAGAATTTCATTGTAATATCATCCGTTTTTTAACCAAGGTATAAACCTTATTTAAATTAGGTTAATTAATAATATATATTGGCTTTTAAAATGTATTTAACTCATTTATATATTTTTTATAATAAAATAAAAATTAGAAATCAAAATTATCAATTGAAAAAAATATTTGATCGTAACGGAATATGCTGATGGTGGTGTACTTAGAAACTATTTGAAAGATTGATAGGCTTGCTTGGGAAGACAAATACAACTTGGCATTCCAGTTGGCTAGTGCTGTGTCATGTTTACATGACGAAGGAATTGTGCATCGTGATCTGGTAACATTATATATATTGTCAAAAATTAATATTTGAATCTATGTACGCATTTAATAGCATTCCGGCAATATATTAATTCATCAAGGTGTAATTAAACTAGCAGACTTTGGTCTATCGAAAAGAATTGACGACATTTTTGGTATAATTCCTTATTTAGATCCAAAAGATTTTATAGTCGAAGAAAAAATAACAATACGTCGCAAAATTATTTGCAAAATGAAAAAAGTGACGTTTACAGTGTTGGTGTACTGTTATGGGAGATATCAAGTGGCCGCCCTCCTTTTTATGTTGAAGGTAAACAATTCGACATCAATTTAACTATAAAAATTAAAAAGGACTCAGAGAAAGTGTTATTTCTGGTACGCTTGAAGATTATGTAAACATTTATACTGGTAAATATAATATTATAAATTTGAATATAATGCTTTCGATCATTAAATTGTTTTATATGATTTTAGAGTGCTGGGAAGACGAGCCAGATCGTCTGGTTATGAGCAAATTTGTTGAAAAATTAAATGATATAATTACAAAAATAAATAAAATAGAAAATGATCAAATTAATAATGAAAATTCAATCCTTCAATTGTCAGAACTACAAATTTATTATAGCATGAATAATTTATTTCATGGGGACTTATCTCAATAGAATCAAAAATTAAATCAGGTGAATGTAGAAAAATTAGAATCGAATAATGAAACATCAAACATAATTTACGATGATACTATTGATAGTTAACGATTACGGAACACAACAAGGATATATTAAACGCTTTAGGAGGATTGCAAAGATATCAGAAATTAAAAGTATTCATTTGTAGTAATACTAAATAAATATCTTACCAAATTACCAAACTCCTTAACGAAACTCTATTGTAGTAATAATAAAATAACAAGCCTACCAACTTTACCCGACTCCTTAACAGTACTCAGTTGTGGTAATACTCCAATAAATAGCTTACCAACTTTACCCGCCTCCTTAATAATACTCAGTTGTAGTAATACTCTAATAAATAGCAACTTTACCCAACTCCTTGACAAATTCTATTGCAATAATACTCAAATAAATAGCTTACCAAATTTTCCCGATTCCTTAATTTACGTTTTTCCAAAACATTATCTATATAAAAAATACCTTTATAATAATTTTTAATATTAAATTTTACATATTTAAAGCTTTTCCTTTTGTCTTGTGAATATATTTAGCAACATTTATATGCATCATTATTTGAAATATTTTCTTAACTATATAAAAAATTAGGATAATAAAGTTTTGTAGGACTTATTACAGTGTGAGGTTTAAAAGAAAAAATTTGGAGAATTTCTTTTTTTTTTGATTAACTAAAAATAAATTTATTCTATAACTCAAAATTCATTTATTCAAATAATTTCATAAGCATGCTATTCATAATCTTTGCGAAATTAAAAGAGTTAACATAATTCGTAACTTTATTGTAATTTTATTTTGAACAATTTTAAGTGTATTAAGTGTTACTTATCTAGAAGCCAAAATTTAAAATTTCAAACATGCGATATTACTATTAAACGATCAGTTCAAGATGTTATCTTTTCACCGTCATGTATAACCTAGGAGATCACTAATTTACCCCCACGTTACGATTGACTGTTATAATTGAGATTAATTAGGGGTCAGGTGTTAGGTGTTAGGTGTTAGGTAAGGTTGCCGGGCAAAACCCGAGGTTTCGACAGGCATCGAAATCGAAATCCATCGAAACGTTTTGCCAAATTTTTTTATTAAAGGCAAAATTGCGAAAATTTTGACGGGTGGCAAAAGTTTCGACGGGGGCAAATGTTTCGACGATGGCTATCGGTGTTAACAGATCAGCCTGTTGTGAGTGGTCAGTTCATCAAAAGGAGTTTTAGCGGTTTCTTTTTCTTCGTCTTGTATAATATTTGTCAAATCATTCATCAAATTTTTTGACGGAATCCACCAATTGGAAGATGAAGAATCGATTTTGGTGTTACCATGAAATATATAACAAAATTTTCAACTCTGAATGAATTCTTCGAATTCTCTCAATATCATCAATATAAAGTTTTTAGACAATATTAAAATTTGGTTAACAAATGATGGAGTCATAACTATACGTATAAAATTTTTCATAATTGCCTAAATTTTAAAAAAAAAGAATTTAAGTCGATGATAAGGAAATTATTTTTAATTATGGATACGATCACATAATTTTTTGGAAAGTTAAATTATAGTGGTATATAAACTTAGCGCAGAGGATGACAGTATGTGAACTATTACTCTCGTCCGCAGTGTCAGCGCTATCAAAATGCTGGCGGGGATAAAGTTGAGGTGAGCCTACCAATCCTAAGGTAAGGTTACAGAGAGGCAAGGTGTTCCCTTTTATAATCGAGAGTAATTTTTTTTATGCTACTGGCTTGCTATTTAGATCACGTTGATCTCATGGTTCATACAAAATATAAGTTAACGGCGGCGTAACTCGAACGTAGGATATAAAATCAAGCTTTATTATTAATTTTTTTTTACATGAATTCTACGAATCGCTTACTTAAATAAGTAAGTTTTCTATATTGATGAACATGTTAGCGAAAAGTAACGATAATACAATATATTATTATATTTCAATTTATCAACTCATTACATTAACGTTAATATTCATTATTTTCTTATATAATTTTAATTCTTCGCATTATCATTGCCATTCTTTCATCATAAATTTTAATTTCCTAATTCTAGCACTTAATATTCAATATCTGGTAAGATATAGAATCAATAATTTAATTTAATTTTAATTGTTGATCTGGTCTATTTTAAATTGGCTTTGGGAGTCCATTGATCTTGTCATTCAAAATCCGCCAAATGAGAATTACTAAAAATAAAACTTAAAAAGCGCATCTTTTCTTTTTACATACTTATACTTCGTAACATGAATTTTAAAATACATAGACTAAAGTTGTAAAAAATTCAAAAAGTATGACAATATTATTACTAGTTCAGACAATCCATGTATTCTATTAGAAATTGGATCTTCTTAATCCAATTCTTTGAATAAAAGAACAAGCGAAAGATGTGTTATAATCAGTCTTAACTTGGATAAATGGTTAGGCCCAAATATCTAA